ATGCAGACGGAGATATTCCTCGTCCACTTTGTCCGCCATATTTACATTTTACGCGGGAAAAGTATGTCTTTTATTACGTATGTGCATGTGAAATGTCCTTTAATTTTACGGGATCACTTACACAACGTATTTTTACATAAAAGTGTGTCCGCTGAATAACCCCACACTCCGTCCGGGCGGACGCCCGGGCGTTAATTTTTCCCTCGTTTGTGAGGTTAGAAGATGGCGAGAGAAAGAGACAACAGTGTAAGTCTTGTTTCTTTAAATATGGCATTCCTTTTGCTATATATTTTCCGTTTGTTTTCGGTTTTCCCGCTTAGATTCAGTTCAGCGCTTTCACAAATATATATGGTATTTAATTATCGCAGAGATGGAGCAATTTCAGATTGACTCAGCCGTTCAAGTACTGTAATTCGGAAAAATTGTCTTTCTTCGAATGTCAAGCGTTAATTCCTTGTGGCAACATTTCACGAAATATGTTTTATGAGGTATTTGTTGTTCGTCACGCAGTCAAAGTAATGGCAAGCTGCGCTGTTATAGCTCATTGAATTTCAAAACGTTTTACATCATCGCAGTAGCACCTATGAAATGTCACATTTCGCTAGTGATTTTCACTTTTTTTTTGAAAGAATGCAAACCGAACTCTTTTTTGTTCTAAACAAGTTTCATGTTTTCACTGATTGCAAAACGTGTCACTCTCAGAAGACAAGAAACCATCGCTAATAGACACTGGTCGTTGACTTTATTTAGATTCACGATCATGCTGTGTTTATGAAATTAAGCGTTTTCTTGTTTTATTATTTTCCCTAGGCTAGCACCAAAATAGAACTAACCCTAGCACAAAGTGTTTAGAGACTCTAACCCTAAGCCCAAGGCCAAGGGTTAGGGTTTGCTTTTAGNTTTCCCTAGGCTAGCACCAAAATAGAACTAACCCTAGCACAAAGTGTTTAGAGACTCTAACCCTAAGCCCAAGGCCAAGGGTTAGGGTTTGCTTTTAGGTCTAGCACTAGCTGTAGGGTTATGTTACCTTTACTGTAACTGTCAAGTTATAGGCTCATCTTTCTTTAAGGTCCATGTTCATCCATTCCGTTTTGCGATCCTGTATTATTGTTTTGAAGTCACCGTTGTCGTAATGTTTCTTTTTTTTTCCGAAAACAAAGCGCAAACCAGCTAAAAAAATGCACAGGGCTATGCTCTTCTACTCAATTGAAGACGACACACAAAAATTCGGGCACTTTTGAACAAAAAAAATCATTTTTCACCTGAAGAAGTCACTTACGTCAGTCTTGCACCAAGCCATTCAATTAGTACCAGGAGGGATACATGCCAATGCCTTGTCATGTCTTCATTAGGTGGCATTACCATTATCTCTTTGTGCCAGCTCTTGCGTGAGGAACATTACCATTCTTGTTATCTTCAGGAGAATTTTTTCATATTTTTGGATACTTGGGTTGTTTGCTCTTTTAATGTGTAAAAAAGGGGAAAATGGTTTGTTTATCTACTTGTATTTTTATTCTCAAGGATGTGTTTTATCACTTGGTAAATATGATGTAGTTCTCACCAGCCAAACTTTGCCACTAGAAATTCAGTCTGTTCTGTTTTGGTTTCATTGTCAGTTGAAATAGACTTTAAAAACCTAGGTTTTGATAAGATAGTCTTACTCTTACAGTTGTTTCTGATTGAATTTTGTTTTCTTTTAAATTTCCCTTTACCGAGGAACAGCTTTTATTCTACAA